CGTGAATGCCGGGTTGCCTGTGATGTGTGGTCGCCTGGCAGCCTCTCCTGAGTGGATCCCACAGCTTTCTCAGTAAGAGAACACTGAATATCAGAGACCTCAGAGATTCCCTTATCCAGTTGGTTTTTAAAAAGCTTTATTATCTCTCCTGTTAGACTCATACTAGTAATAAAACCCTCTCATGGGAGTGCAGGACTTTACAGTTTACAAATCACATTCATATCTGTGGTCTCATTTGAATTCTTACCCCTTTTCTGTGAGGTTGACAGGACAAGTGTTGCTATCTCCATTTCACAGAGGATAAAATGGAGGCTCAGAGAAGGTCCAGGGTCTAATAAACAGCTAATAAACAGCTGTCAGTGGCTGTCTGTCCCTCTGACACCTGAGTATGTTTGGATGGGGAGGTAGTCCACTGTGGAAGAGTGGATTACGCTTCCCCTATATAACCTCCCTGGAGCAGAATTATGTGCCCCAACTCTGTCATCATGAAGCCATAAGACTTGCTCTGGCCAATGAAATGTGAGAAGAAGTGATGTATGTCACTTTGGAACAGAAGGCTGAAGACCCAGCATGTTGTTCACCATGTCTCTTTTCCTTCTGCCATGAAATCTGGCAATGTTCCAGAGAGAGAGAGAGAGGAGCTCCCTCAGCCTGGGTTCTGGAGTAAAGATAACATGGAACAGGGAAGTAGTTGACCCATCATGGACATAGGGGTGAGCAAGAAATAAACCTTTGGGGTTGTACACCACTGAGATTTGGGGGTTATTTGTTACACAGCAAAACCTAGCTAATATATCTATAAAGACAGTACCCTCTCCTGGGAATAGCGATGTCAGACCCTGGATAAGTATCAGCTGGTCTATGATTTTGTGTGTGTGTGTGTGTGTGTGTGTGTGTGTGTGTGTGTGTCTGGGGTGGCAAAGTGGGTACGGGGAAGGGAAGGCTTAGCGGAGTTTGCCCTGTATCCTATTTCAGTCAGTCTTTCAAACCAGCTACACATACAGGGGCCTGCTTCCCATCCTTCTCCTCTCTTCTCTCTGTCCCTATTTTTATTATTTGGCACAGAACTTCGGATCTCTGTTGAATTCCATGATAGCAGATAAAGTTTTTTTTCTTTCCCAAATCATATGGAGAAACTGCTTCAGGAGCTATTGATTGACTCTCAGAAATAATAATTGTAGCTACTGTTTCCTGAGGATTTGCTGACGATCAGGCACTCGTTAAGAGCTTTTCATGCTTTACCTCATTTTCTCTTCACAACTACCTGAGGAATTTGATCCTACTATTTCCTCATGTTAGAAGCAAGAAAATGAAGCCTTAGAGACGTTAAGAAACTTTTTTTTTTTTGGCTGCGTTGGGTCTCCATTGCTGCGCAAGGGCTTTTCTCTAGTTCTGGCAAGTGGGGATTACTCTTCATTGCAGTGCACGGGCTTCTCATTGCGGTGGCTTCTCTTGCTGCAGAGCACGGGCTCTACGAACGTGGACTTCAGTAGTTATGGCACGCGGGCTCTAGAGCACAGGCTCAGTAGTTGTGGCACAAAGTTGTTCCAGTCTTTGTGGCTTCAGTGTGTAAACCCAGCTTCCCTAGGCCTTTGAGCTCTAATGCTTGCCCCCTCCTAAGCAAAGGAGGGTGGTGTGGCAGAAATGGCCAGTTGCTGCTCAATTTGGGAGAGGGATTTGGGGCTCTGGCAGAAGCCTAACTGTGCATCCGATTCACACAAATGAGGAAATCAGTGAATGAGGGAAGGATAGAAGGATTGGGCATCTGTTGAATGCTTAGAATATTCCAGATACTGTGAATGATCCTTTCTATTACACTTTCTTAGTTGATCTAAACAAACATTCTATGGGAGAAGATCTATTACCCCATTATGTCACTGAGGCTCAGAGAAGTTAACCGCTTTGACTAAGGTCATTTAGCTTATAAAAACTTATGCTAGAAATGGAGCTAGGGTCAGTGTGACTGTTAAAACCATATTCTTTCCTCCATAGCAAACCATTTACTCACTGTGCCCTTCCACCAAATATAATACAACATAATAAAATCTTGTCCTCTTGTGTTTCTGCACATCTTGTGAGCAGAGGCACTATCATTTGTCCCACACCATCTTCACAAGGATGTTTGTAGAGCAAACGGCCTTCGAAGATAGAGTATTTCCCTCCAGAGCAAAAGACAGAAATGCTTGCTTCCCACTATAAAAGATTTGGTTTCCCTAAGCTCAGGGTTCCTGACATCCAGGAACTGATGTAAACATGCCGATGCTCATGCTGCATGTGGTGCTGTGGATAATAAAGTTCTTTGTCTCTGACCCGGAATTCTCATGTCCTCCGCTCATATCCATGAAACCACGTTACACTAAGTTGTCGGCTTACAACTAGGTCAGTGAGATCTTAGCTCCTGACAGCACCTGCCATATTTGGGCCATGGAAAGAGCTACCATGTTTAATCCAGTTGTGTCACATCACCCATGCTCTTCACTTACATTATTTCAACTAAATGTATAAGGTCAACAAAGCAATAAAGAAAATTTAAATACCACTCTGCCTTCCCTTTTTCTAAATAAGTGCATGCCATGGAGGAAGCATGTGACAAAAGAGTTAAATCTGCTATTTTCTCAGTAGATCTTAGTTTTCATGTGGCTTTCATGGCATGGTCATTTTGCCACACTGAGTGTGATTCAAAGATGCACGTTTTTTCATGTAGCATTGCCTCTAAATCTAAACCACCCACTTTGGATGGTCAGCCAAAGAGAAGGCTATCAGATCAAATGCTGGAGGAAAATTCAGAGATGATAAATCAGTCTCCAGTTCGAAGCTCTCCTAAGAAATTTTCAAGTACATCTTCTTTTGTTTGTTTTGGCTGCACCATGTGGCTTGTGGGATCTTAGTTCCCCGACCAGGGATTGAATCCAGGGAGGAATGAAATCACAGAGTCCTAACCACTGGATCGCCAGGAAATTCCCTCAAGTACATCTTTCACCTCATGTGATTTTTGTTGTTCTTACAGATCAACTTTAGAATGTTCCACCCTCATAAGCTATGACTCCAGACGATTATATAAGGTGGAGGGGGGATATGCTAATGGTCACAAAATTTCTTTTACAATTGAATATAGCGTGTACTTATCCTTACATTTATATATCACTTTCTTCTTTAGTACCATAAATTTGAATCTAATCCTTTTCCATCTCCAGAGACAAAAGAGTCCCATGGACTTAATTTTGACTTCTTAGTCTGCTAAATTTTGAAGTACAGTATATCAATTGCCATTTCTTTTTTGATTAAACTAGTATTATTTATTTATAATTTATTTTTTTTCTTATTAGTTATCTATTTTATACGCATCAGTGTATATATGTCAATCCCAATCTCCCAATTCATCACACCACCACCCTCAACCCCCGCCGCTTTCCCCCCTTGGTGTCCATATGTTTTTTCTCTACTTCTGTGTCTCAATTTCTGCTCAGCTGAACCAATCTCTAAACTAGTATTTTTTATTACTGTTTGTTTTTCCTCAATTGAATTATGTATCACTGGAAGTTAATCAACTACATTTGAACATATATTAGTTTTTAAAATTAGGTAGTAGTACATGGTAATAAATACCAGAGTACAAATTGTATTAGTTCTGCTATATCTTCAATATTACCTCAGGGATTGGGACATCAATATTTTAATATCTGGTTCTGGATTGATGGCAACTCCAAAACTACTACATAAAAAAAGGGTGAGCATAGAGAGAGATAGAGGAAAAAGAATGTACAGTCCAAGATAAGTCTATGAACCAAAATTCTAAAACATATGAGTAAACTTAACAAATTTAAGCCTATAAAACCAATAAGGAGATGAATCATTTTGGTTTAAATAAACACAATAGAGAGATCTGAAAATGAATTTCAAGTTTGGGCTCTGGAAAAAGATAAAGAATAGAATAACATCTATTTTTACAAAAGAAATTATAAAAATATAAACAGGTGTAAATGAAACAAGAACAAGTAGATATGAAAAAGAATCAGTACTGGAGTGATCAATCTCATGAATCTCCTCTAGGAATGGGTGACCCCTCATACATTTGCTGTATCTTCCAGCTGAGTGCCAGCTTGTGTTATTCAATCTAGGACTGCGAAGTTAAGCTGTGTGTGAGCATGGTGGGGGCAGTTCCAGTCCCCTTCCATCTAAAGCCCTCCACCATGCCATCCAAAGTCCCCTTCCATGTGGTCTTTCTCCATTTGTGTTTTCCTTTGCTGAAGAAGCAACGGGCAGAACAGATTAGTAAGTAACAGATATCCGGGGGGTTGCCAGTGTCCTCTTCCTGCAGGCACGCCCAGTCTTCACTAGTGATTCTCTGGGAGCCCTTCTCCCTTGCCTCTAAGAGGGACTACAACCCCCCATGGAGGGAGAGGAAGGGATGGGTCTCTTTTCAGAAAACTGCATTTGTCCTCAAGGCTGGCTTCCCTCCCTTCTCTCCATTCTTTCTTTGCACTGATTAGTGGTGATTGTTTGTCTGTGGGCGAAGGGTGGGAATGGGGAATAGGTGGAGTAGTGGAGTAGGAACTGATGGAAGGGCTGGTAGAATAACAATAATGGCTCTTCAAATGCCCTGCTGGAAGGTAGCTGGTTCCAACCACTGGCAGTTCTTTAAATATAGAATGTGGGCTCCTTATGGACTTTTTGGTTCGGATTTGGGTTTCAGCAGCAGTTTCAGGACAATAGGAAAAAGCTCTCTTAATGTCCAATTACACAAGAATATATGTCTATTATCCTTTCCTTTTATAATTTAATAAATGTTGGCATACTATTTACTTTTCCATATCTTGTTTTTTTCACTTGAAGTATTTCCTAGAGATTGTTCCATATCAGGATATGTACATGTGCCTCATTCTTTTTTATTGCTTCATATATTCCACAATATGGATGTACTAAAATTTATTACAACAGCTCTCTAGTGACAGTTAGTCTCTAGTCTTTTGCTATTACAAACAGTGCTACAATGAACATTTTGCATATACTCTTTTCATGTAAATAGCTTTTTTAAAAAAAAAAACAACTAGAAACCCTGACAGATGTTTGTCATCCAAAGGACAGTCCATTTTAAGTATGCTGCAGTTAGTGTCACACAACCTCTTCCTACTTTGAAAATTCTGTGAATTATTACAAGAATTGCCAATTTCTACTCTTTAATTGCACTGCTTAGCATGTGATAGGCATTCTGCATTCACAACGTTTCTTTTCAATGCAGCTTCAAAGTGTAATGACTTTGACACAGATTTAAGCAAATTTAGAGATCTACATTTAAGCTGCTAAATGCAAATAAAGCGTGAACTACAAAGTAATGCTTAGGATGGGAGATCTGAAGTTATATGTGTTTTAATTCAAATCCCAGTACCAGTTTTCACCTATATGACTTTAGCCCTGTATGACACTCAGTTTTCTCATTCATAAAATGGGGTGAATAGAGCAGTGACTTCATGGGGATGTTGTAGGGATTAAATAAGAAAATATGCATGATTCTTAGGACATTTCCTGGAACACAATAAGTGTTCAGTAAGCATTAGCTATACATAAAGGTTTCAGTTCAGGTGACAATTGTATATATACAAACTTTCTAGCCAGACATAAGTTCATAGCTGGACCAGTAGTGTCAGTTGGTTCATAGCTTTCTCCTTTATTTGGTACAGGCAAATTTCCTGATTTCAGAGATGTTAAATTGTGAAACAAACAAACTATACTTATTGGAGTTAAAGAATATAGAAATAGGGGCTTCCCTGGTGGCGCAGTGGTTGAGAGTCCGCCTGCCAATGCAGAGGACGCGGGTTCGTGCCCGGGTCCGGGAGGATCCCACATGCCACAGAACGGCTGGGCCCGTGAGCCATGGCCGCTGAGCCTGCGTGTCTGGAGCCTGATGGATTACCTTACAGATTAGTATTACCTTATATTAGGTTATCATGTAATAACCATCCCATGTATTAAATTCTCATATGCCAAGCATTTTGCATATATTATCTCATTTAATTTTCACAAGGACTCATGTGAGATAGATATTATTATTCTTATTCTGAAGAGACTGAAGATCTGACAAATCAAGTGACATGCCCAAAGATATCATTAGTAAGTTGTAGAGCAGGGATTCATTCTCAGATTGTTCTGAAAAAAAGATATTTGTAAATTCCCATACATTTTTCCAATGAAATCTCACTTACGCATGGCAGAACCAGCTTATGAAAGGTCTTGAATGCTAAAAGCAGGCTTGAACTTCATTTTGGTGGATTGAGGCAGGGCTGTCTTATCCATTAGGTACAGCAGGCACAGTGCCTAGGGTCCACAATACTTTTAGGGGTCTATAAAAATGTTTAAGTTCAAAATCAGAAGAGAAAAATGGACTTTTAGATTGAAGAAAATGACTTGCTATATAACATTAATATATTTATCTGTATATTAATGCATTTGTAAAATATGAAATATATATTAAATAAATATTATCTACTACATAAATATATATATTATATATCCACAAGCGCAAAGCAAAAGTGCCCGGGGCCATGAAAGTCAGAATGCGGCCTTGTACCGGGGTGCGCTAAACTTTCTGGGGAGGTGATATAGCAGACTAAGTTGGAAGAGGGTGGTAGGTGGTGGCCAGATTCTGAAAAATGTCACAATTTCTCTCCTCCCATCAAAGTTACCCCCCCAAAGGGAGGTTGTAAGGGACAGAGGTGAAACATAGGGCAGAAAGTGCCACTTCCTAGCTGCATGATTTTGGACAAGTGACTTGATCAATCTAAGCCTCAGTTTCACCATCAATAAAATGGAGATATGTATCTCCTGAGGTTGTTGGACAGGGACCTAGGTGCCGTGTTCACCGTTAGGTACGAATCGCTTGATACATACATGTTGAATGAATTCAGTAAATGTGTGCTTTGCACAGTGGTCGGTGTAAGGTAAGCCTCCAGTAAGTGGTAGCTGCTAGCATTAAAAATAGTAAAAAGTCCCCATAGTTACAACCCTAGCGCTGCAGAACCCAGACGTACCTCAGCAGGTCCGATGGAAACCTGCGCAGTAACTTCCCACAGGAGGCGAGGACGCGCGACTGCGCTTGCGCACAAGCGCTTTCCTCCGCCCCTTCGGGCGCGAGGACCAGAGGGGCGGGTTCGGCAGCGTTGCGACGAGTCCAGAGGGGAGGACTGAGGAAGGGGCGTGGCCAGCAGGCCGGGCCACGGCCACACTCTTCCGGGCTTCTCCAGCTGCGTGCGCATCCTCCTCCCCCCTTCTTTTGTGGTCCGGCCCATTGCGAGGGTGACAGGAAACCCTGTGCAGGGAGCGCCGCCATCTTGGACGTGCCCGAGGAAGACCCTGAGGGAGCTGCAGGAACGTCGCCGCTGCCACCGCCACTGCCGCCAGTGCGTCTGCAGCTTCTCGGCCTGCCCGCTGCTTGCCGGCGCCTCGGCCGAGCGCCCCCGCCCCTCTCCTGCTGCGCCCGCCCGCCTCTTCCTCGTCCTGACGCCCCCCTCACTCCCGGAAAGCTGCCCAGCCACCAGCAACCCCCCAGGTAACCCAGGCCTTCCGCAGTGTCCGGGGGCCCGGGGCTTCCTCGCCAGGCTCTCCCCGGGCCGGGGGTGGGGACGACGGCGGGCCCGGGGCGCGGGCGAGGGGCGTTGCAGGGTGGGCCGTGTCAGGCCGCGGCGAGCCCGGGGTCGGCGGTGGGCGCCGCGGCGGCCTGACAGGAGTCCATGCGGGGGCGAGGGTGTCCCCACGCGGCGCCCGCCGAAGCTCCGGTCCTCCCCGCCCAGTCGAGGGCTCCGGGGCGCGGCGTGGGCAAGGGTGTGTTCGGCCTCGTCTTCCCCGCCTCCTCAGCCGACCTGGGCCGACTCGCACCTCCCGCGGGCCCCGTCTCCTTGCCGCCACTCTCGGCGGCCGCCGACCTCCCACGCCGGGTTTGTCCACGCGGGCCGCGCCGCTCTGCAGCTCACGAGCCCCGGACGTGGCGTTCCCCGGCCCATAGGCCGCGTCCGGCCCCGAGCACAAAAGGCAGCAGCCCGCAGCCCCGCTGGCCTCTTGGACCGTCTGCGACGTCCTTGTCGATGTGGGTAGGCTCTCTTGGACTCGGGCTGGGCAGGGGTCTGGGCGTCCGAGGTTCTGGTTTGGGTGAAGCCCTGTAAGGTCTGTGACATCCTCTAAGACCCCGATGCTAGCTAGCATCTAGAAATAACGAAGACAAAAAGTTTTGGCTTTTCTAGAATTTAAGAAAAGAAGGCGGAAGAAGCGTGTTTTGGTGGTTTGCACTTTACCGTGTGCCAGACCCGGATTTAGGTGTCTTCCAACAGGTTTATCTTGCTTCACGGGGCCCTGGGGGGTAAGTGTCTCCATCTCCCAAGTGAGGAAACTGAGGCGTGAAGGTGTGATGTGGCTGGTTAATGATGGTATAGGCAAACTCAGGTTAGGCCAGGGTTACACACAGGACCATTTAAAATGTAGCTACGGCTTAATTCCTTTTTTGCTATGTTTGCATTTGGGTAACAGCTGATTACTCCTTTAGAACCCAGAGTCTGTCGTGTGGGCCACTACACTGCCAGTCCTCATTTTCACCACCCCAGAGGAGAGATGGCAAGATTTCCATTTTATATTTGAAGGAGAAGCTGGGTTACGCAGAGAGCAAATGCTTTCCTGGTGGTCCCACAGCAAGTGTCAGTGTCCAGATTTGGACTCTTGCAAAGTTTACTGCTCGGTTCCATTACTGTCACAACTGCCTTTTATTTAGGGGTGGTTATTGAGGACAAATGTGACCTTGCGATAACCCAGCTCCCACTCGCCCACCCCCCAAGACTTCCCCAAATGTTTCTTCAGATTTCTGCTTACACCCATTTACTTGGTCATGCCTTTGAGACATGTAGTGGTTAGGAGTTTGGAGGGTTCCCATGCCCGTATTGCCACTTCCTAGTTAAGTGACGTTAAGCAAGTCACTTAACTTCTCAGACTAAGTGTCCTTATCTGTTCACGGGATAACTGTACGTACAATTTAGAGTTGTTGTGAAGATTAAATGGGGTTTAAAACCCTTAGCACATTGCTTGGAATATGGTAAGTGCCCCGTTGTCTCTTAACAGTGCCAAGCATGTAGTGGGTGTTTAGTATTTGTTGATTGAGAGGAGCATGGCTTTAGAGAGCTGTAGAGTTAGACCTGGGCCTTAATCTTAGCTTTCCCTTTAGTAGTATATGACCATTGGTATATCTCCTCTCTGAGCTGGTTTCCTTATCTGTAAAATGAGTTAGTTTTTAGAATTAGAGATTGCTTATAAAGTAGCTGGCATATAATAGTCACTCAGTAAATGGCGGTTATTGTAAAGAAGTAAAACCTTTAGATATTAATAACCTAAAAAATTCCTTGGAATTAAAGCTACATTTTAAAAAGATTTTGTTTTTTATATTTCATGTTACACTTTATAGTTGTTGCATACTTTAGCTATGCAACAGAATGTGGAGTGTTTTTACAACTGATTATTAGTCTTAAATCATAATCTCAGTAAGATATTGTACAATTAGAGGAAACTTTGGGTTAAGGCAAATAAGATATTTCAAAACTAGAGCTATTGAGAGATGTTTCATTTTTTAAAAAAAGCTTGAAACATTTTTATGTGATTAAAAATGCTGGGCATGCCGGGAGTCAGCAATGCACATATAGAGGTATCAAAGATACTATTATTTTAAGAAACTATTTTTTCTAGACAATTTTAAACATATACAAAGTAGAGCAGTATGTTGAGCCTTCATATATCCATCAGCCAGTGTCATCAGTGATCAGTCTCCTTTCATCTATATACACCTGTACCTCTCCACCAAATTACATTTTTTGTTGTTGTTTTTTCTTGTTGTTTTGATTTTTATTGGGGTATAGTTGATTTACAGTGTTGTGTTAGTTTTCTCTGTACAGCGAAGTGAATCATTTATACATATACATATATCCACTCTTTTTTAGATTCTTTTCCATCTACCAAATTATTTTGAAGGAAATCTCAGACATCATTTCATCAGTAAATTTTTCACTTATTGCTAATCCTTTTAACTCTAACGGTAAGTGCAGGGTTTTAGTTTTGTTTTGTTTTCCTCCTAAGTACTTTCCTTCTGTGGACAGAGGTACAACAGTAAAGTACTTTATTTCCTATTCACAGCGTGCTGTCATAATTAGGTGGAAACTTTTGTCTTTCTCGTGATACAAGAGAAATATGTTTTTTTCTTATCACATTATTAATTTATATAAAAGTGTGACTTTAAATATCTTGTCAAAAGTCAGGTGATTTTTAAAGTGCGTCTCAGAAATGAGCGGGTTATTTTCAGAGGTTGCATTAGTGTTGAGGAAAGGAAATTGAGCATACATTTTGATTAGATTAGTTTAGTAGATTAACTCCCAAAGTTCTGTGTCCACTTAACTGACAAATCAAGTAGCATTCCACTTTAGTGGGCTTGTAAGCACACCAAAATGCTTCTCTTCTTGAGTTCCCTGAAGGGAGGGACCCCTTTGTTTCATTACTGTGTTGTAATGTATTTCATTACTGTATTGTATAATTTCATTACTGTATTGTCAAAGCCTAGCATAAGGCTTTGTGCCTAGTAGATAATTTAAAAATTTTTTTATATTGGAATCACAAATGCAGTTTATCCTGGCTCAGGTGTTTTTAACAGTGTTCTTCATGTAAAAAAAAAAAACCACTTAATTCTAACAATAAGGATAAGAATTTAAATCACCTGGAATATTTTTATTCGGGGGTAGCTTTTTTCCTGTGTTGTCTTGAATCAGTTACGTAAAAATTACACAGTAACATCTTATGTTCTAAGAGTGGGATAAAATAGCTGTGTAACAGTTGTGAAAGGATTAGTCAGACAAATGCATAAGGTAACACAGCAAGGAGTCAAACCATAAGAAAATGAAAAAATGCCCTCCATTATTGGGGTGTTTTCTGTTTGTGTGTTTGGTTTTTTTTGTTTGTTTATTTTTTTTTGTCTGCGCCCCAGAGCTTGTGGGATCTTAGTACCTGAACTAGGGATTGAACCTGGACTCTCGGCTGTGAAAGCACAGAGTCCTAACCACTAGACTGCCAGGGAATTCTCCTGTTTGTTTTTTGAGTCTAATCACGAGTCACTTCATATGATGTTCCCCATATTATTGGTAAATGTGGAAGTAATGTTGGAAGTATTATGACTGGGATTTTTTGTTTGTTTGTTCTTGTTTTGTATTAGAATTATATATAAAAATGCTTAAAAAATATTTGTCTTTTTTTCCTCTACTTTTAATATTTTAGAATATTACTAATGAATATAGTACATGCTTATAGTGTCCTCACAGGGATATATAAAGAAAGTTAATAATTTTCCCCTTTTTTTCTCTCAATCTGTGTATTAATTTTTCACAGCTTGGTGTGTATCCTTCCATAGTATATGCATATAGGATTGAGTGTGTATGTGTTCAAAAATGGGATGTGCTATCATAAAACTCTGCAGCATGCTCTTTTTCACTTAAAATCATGGATATATTTCCAGGTTAATACTTATATCTAAATGGTTTTTAAACTAGATTTATATTATTTCATAGTACAGATGTACTTTAGTCATTTCCCTGTTGACGAGTGTGTAGATTGTTTCCAATTTTTTGCTGTAAAAATGCTGCATTAAATGCACTTGCACCTGTAAATTATGGACTGATGCTTTTGTTTCTGTAGACTACTTTTAAAAAAATAAATTTATTTATTTATTTTTATTTTTGGCTGTGTTGGGTCTTCGTTGCTGTGCGCGGGCTTTCTCTAGTTGCGGTGAGCGGGGGCTACTCTTTGTTGCAATGCTCAGGCTTCTCATTGTCGTGGCTCCTCTTGTGGAGCACGGACTCTAGGCGAGCAAGCTTCAGTAGTTGTGGCATGTGGGCTCAGTAGCTGTGGCCTGTAGGCTCTAGAGCTCAGGCTCAGTAGTTGTGGCACATGGGCTTAGTTGTTCCGCGGCATGTCTGATCTTCCTGGGCCAGGGCTCGAACCTGTGTTCCTTGCATTGGCAGGCAGATTCTTAACCACTGCACCAACAGGGAAGCTCTGTAGACTACTTCTAAGTGGGTTTCTTGGCCAAAGGGTGATTTGGGTTGTTTTTAAGATATTAAAATATACTGATTACTTCCCCAAAATATTGTGACACTTCAGATTCCCACAAGCAGAGTAAATGAAAGTGCCTACCTTCACATCTGTATCTGCACATTTCAAAACTAGTCGTTTATATGTATAGTTTTATTTGGAAAGGTGTCTGATTCAGTATATGGAGACTAGGTGATACTATTTTGGCCCAACAATGATTAGTGTTTAATGTGCATTTAGTAACCATTTAGATCTATATGTATTGGCCTGGAAATAGATCCATGATATTGTTAAGTGAAAAAAAGCACGCTGCAGTTTCATTCAATAGCATACCCCATTTTAAATATATTTCTCACCTTAACAGTGGTATGTGTTTCATGTTCACGAGATGAGGTTGAGAAATCCTTTGTTACAGCATCATTAGGCAAAGTTAATATTTAAATGGGGCCACAGAATAATTATTAGTGTTTAATATGCATTTAGTAAACATTCTTCTTGACAACCAGGAAGTTTAGGACTAAATTTTACATGGACTGATAGTAAAACTATTACCTTAACTTTGAGTATTAATTAACCTCCATCTTTCTCTGATTTTGATTTTTTGCTTTTATTTTATCAACCTACATATATATGTTTTTAATGAGCTACTTTAGATAGAGAAAATCATGTTCTTTGGAGTCAGGTTTGGGTTCAGGTTCCAACTCTGCTATTTGCTAACTTTGTAAACCAAGCAAATCAGTGAATTTCCCCGAACCTCAGTTCCTTCAGTTTTTACGCGGACATAATGGTAATGACTCTGCAGAGTTGTAAGACTTGAGTAAGAATTATACAAGACAACATAGGGAAAAGTAGTGCACATCCTCACATGGTTTACTCTCAACAAATGTTAGTTCCCTTCAGAAACTTTTTTGTAAATAGATATAGTATGAATCGTTGTTACTAGTATTATCACTTATCCATATCTACAAATCCTGATCATAGTGCATCCTCTGAATGTAGTTATTTAATAACGCCTATTCAGAATATTAAGTTAGAACCAAGTGAGTGAACTGAGAAAGATTTGTGTCCCAAAGTACCACTGTCGGGTTTTGTGGTGCATCTCAACTGTGGAGGAGGCCAAATAATATAGTGATTAAGAGAGGGTTTTCTGCAGTCAGAACAATTGTAGGTTCAGTATAGACTTGACCACTTAGCTCTATGACGTGAGCATATTACTTACCTGTTGAGTCTTACCTGTGAAATGAGGATAATAGTCACCATTTTATATAAAGGTAGTAGTGAGGATTAAATGAAATAGCAGCATGTAAAGTATTCAGCACATTGCCTGGCATATGTTAAATGCCCAATAAATGGTAACTATAACAATTGTGTTTGTTATTAGTTTACAGATTGTTCATCACATATTTAATGACTTCTCTGCTTCTTGTCTTTAAGAAAAAGGTGTTAAAGGAGATCTTATTTATATGTGAATTTTATTCAAATGATTTTTGTAGAACATGTAAGAAGGTGCATTTTAACCACACCAATCACACATTTGCTGTGCACAAATTACAGGATATTACCAAGATTTTAAAATTAGTGGATATTGTAGTGTTGAGTGGACTCATGTTTTCAGAGTGTTTGAACTCGACCAATATTTCTTGCTCTCCCAATACCACTTTTTTTTTTTTTCACTTTTTGAGTTCTCAAAGTAAGTAAAGCAGAAGCACACATAAGTAATAGGGGAAAAACTTTTTTCTCCCTTCCAAAGCTAGTTAAAAATATATTCCTCACCTTAACATTGGTATGTTTCATGTTCAAGAAATGAGGTTGAGAAATCCTTAAAGCAGTATTAAGCATAATTAATAGTTAAAAGGTGCCACTTGAACATGGTTCTACTGCAAATACGTAGTTTTGAGTGAATGCTATCAATAAACTATGGGAGTCTATTTAAACCTAACTAGTATCTTACCTTAGAATAATAAAAAGAGGACTTGTGTTAGTGGCTACAGTGCTAGATATTTTTGCTTTCCTATCTACTGAAATTAGTAAATTTTAGTAGTTCTCCTTTAACTCTGCTTTTAGGATTTTTATTGTAATTTTTAAGAAACTTGACCAGAAAATTGTGTACTGAGGTGGAGACAGGGTGCTGGTATTCAGTCTGAAATAGGGATCATTCTCTTCTATTTGGAAATAGTTTATACTAATTAATGCTTGGAAATTAAAAAAAATTCAAAATTAGTCGTCTCAGTAGATATTTAATTAATTAATGCTTGTGTGATAATTAGCAAGTACACAAATTAGTACAACTAGAATTGGTTTATAATTTCATGATTAACCTTTAGAGCATTTCAAGTAGAAACTGGGATTGTTAGAGGCCATAGTTTTAACATAAAATGAAGGGAAGCAAAGTATGTACAGCTACAATGTTCAGTTAGAAGAGAGAAAAGAAATAGGAAAATCAGAAGAGGGAGAGCTTGAGAGTAACAGTAATTTAAAGGTGACTAATTACCTTCCCCCAAGTTTGAATAGGGAAAAAGAAGTTAAAAGAGGAGTTAAAAATGAATTGGATGAGAAGAACCTGAGAGAAATGCAGCCCAAGAAGAAATTAATAACCTTTAAATATCATTTTTATTGTGAGAGATTATTTTTTTCCTTGTCTTTAGGATCTGGTTCAGAGATGTAGTAAATAATACAGACCAGTTTGAGCCTCAGGACCAAGTTCATTCTTGTTTTTGGAAAAAGGGAATCAAATTAGTGTGATGTTCAGAATCAGAGTTACTTTAACTAGAAACTCTTTCCTGAAGGAACTGGTTAAGGGAGTTTTCTGTGATGTGACTGATTATAAATGTGTTACATCATGTCCCACTTTTGTTGAATGTAGTTCATACAGCTAAGTGGGAAGACTATACTGTGTGAAATTATCTAATAATTTACTGTAATTGACAACTTCCTCTTCCCTGGTAACAATAATTCACTTATTCTAAATATATACTTTTTCTACAGGTTAAATTTTATTAGTTACTTAGAAATTTTATTTGAAATATGACTTACAGTAAGGTGTTAATTTCAGTAAATGAGTTTCCCCAATCATACTAAATGTCTGGCTTGTGTATGCGACAGTTGGCCAAAACAGTAAAATCCAGGTTAAAAAAATACTGGAAATAAATTTTTTTAAAAATAGGGTTAAACCTTCATATTTATAAAGAATTTTTATCTTAAGCTTTTTGGCTACACCGTGTGGCTTGTGGGATCTAAGTTCCCCAACCACGGATCGAATCCCGACCCTTGGCAGTGAAAGCGTGCAGTCCTAACCACTGGACCACCAGGGAATTCCCTGAAAACTGCTTTGAGAATAAATTTTTTTCTTTCAATTTTATTGGGGAATAAAATTTATTGTAAGTTATTACCAGCATTAAAATTCACCTCTTATTTCTCTAGCACCTAGCACAGTGTCTGACATATTCAAGGCATTTGTTTGAATAAATTGGAGAGGTTTTTTTTAAGTTATTAAAAGTAGAAGAGGGGCTTCCCTGGCGGCACAGTGGTTTGGAGTCCGCCTTCTGATGCAGGGGACACAGGTTCGTGCCCCTGTCAGGGAGGATCCCACATGCCACGGGGTGGCTGGGCCCCGTGGGCCATGGCCGCTGGCCCTGCGCGTCCGGAGCCTGTGCTCTGTGATGGGGGGGGCCCCATTGGTGAGAGGCCCGCGTGTCGAAAAAAAAAAAAAAGAGAGAAATTAGAATTCTTTAGGTTAAGTCTTCTCTGAGGGTAAGAAATGGGCTGTGATCTTTAAGAATACCTTCTAATAAACAAACTTTCAAATTTTAGAACCACAATATGCTATTATTTCTCTTAGCTCCTAGAATAATATATAGCAGGCATTTGGTATATTGTTAATCTTCAAATCCTATATTAGGTTGAGCTATATGAAATTGTCAATAATTGACTTTTTTTAAAAAATCTATAAGAACAACAGATTCATGTGGTTCTAATTCTGACATTTATTTGGTTTAGAAATAATATGATTACTCTTTCTTTGGATGCTATGCTAATTGATAATTTCACGTAGAGTAAAAAGGTTATTTTGTGTTTATAAGTTGGTGGTTACTTTTTATAACATTCTGTTGTAAAATCAAAGAGTTCCAAACAAATAGGTCATCAGTATTCACTTGATCAGTTAACAGGGATGGGGACCTTCATAGGGGAGGAGGATTATTTATAATGATGATACTGTTTAACTTAAATTTATAAAGATTTTCTTGTTTGAAAATTTTCAGAGTAGCATTTCTTATTGGGTATTTCCTAAAGTGAAATATTGGAATTGTTTTTATATATGTTCTTATATTTCTGGGGATAATACATGAGAATGTTAAAGCGTGTTCATCTAAGTGAGTTTGTGCATTTGATCATTTTGGAAAATGCAGTTTTGCTCTGATATTGTAACCAACATTTTGTTTATAATCACTGTGCTTTATTTTATATATCTTTAAAGGATACACAGCTTGGGTGACTTGTGTATACTTTTTTTCTGAAGTAACACAGTTTTCTTTGTTTTTAGTGCCACAATGGCAACTGCACCATACAACTACTCTTACATCTTTAAATATATTATTATTGGTAAGTTTATTTAACTTATACTGTTGTTCTCCAAAGAAGGTTAAAATGCAAAATATTTATATGCTAATACTTAATGTAGTACTCCAGAAGAAGTGAAGGATTTTCTTTCTCACTGCAAAATTAAAGCTCCTTTGATAAGGTTTATTTTTGTACCAGTGATGTACCTTTTGCTTTGTGACCCTGGGTACTTCTGTAGTACAAAGCTGGGTACATTTGAAGTGATGTTGGTTTTTCTTGAGGGCTACCTGAAAGTTTGTTAATACTGGGAATGAGATTAACTTCGTAGGAGTGCTGATACATCCAGAAATATCATGAAAGCTCTCAGAGCTCCCTGGATTCCAACAGTTGATAAAGATTCAGAGTAATTGTGTAAGATACATAAAATATAATGGTGGTTTTTCTCTTAATAAGTTTTGAGATTTAGCTCAAATTAAGACAATGCTGTTTATCCAGATACAGTTTTAAGAGCACAGTTGAAAGTATACATATTATTCTGTTAATTCATATTAGAACAGTTTGGTTTAATGTTGAGCTTATGTGACTGTATTGTAATGCTTCCTTCATCAAAGGTTAAATTACTGTTAGTACAGTTAGAGATGATATCTCTTCTGTTATGATTTTCATGTGATGTACATTCTTTTGTGGAATTCTACAAGAAATACGAGATAAGATGGGATCTAGTGAATCAAGCTTCCCAAACTTATTATTTCTACTTGTTATATGCTGCCCTTTTGGTCACTCCTAGGAGTTTCTGACTTTTTTGCATGGGTTAAGGGAAAAGAACAAAAAAAGTTGAAATAGTTCAAAGTAAAAAATACTATGTTTCTCTGTTAAAAAGCTTTTGCCAGCTGGTGTCTATTTATTAACATAATTCATAACCAAATTCTGTCACTGGTGAAGGTTGGGAATATTCAATTTATATATCACAGTGAAAACTGACCTTTAGGATCTTTTGAACTCGTTATAAATTATGGAAATAAAACTTTTTTAAGTGCCCCAGAAGTTTGTGATGTGATATGGTAGAAGGGATATAGCAGTCATTGAAGAGTATAAAATTATAAGTATAAAATTGAGAAATATAATTACCACTTGAAACTTTTTTTTTAAACAGGGGACATGGGAGTAGGAAAATCTTGCTTGCTTCATCAATTTACAGAAAAAAAGTGTAAGTTCAATATATAAGATAAAACATTAGTAAATTCTTTATTGTCACATGACACTTATTTTCAGTGTATTCTATGCAATTAAATATAACCTTTCCCTATATATGCACTTTTGTCTTTAGAAAGTGATTTTTTTTTTTAATAGGTGCAGACAAAATGAAATATACCTGTATGTATACAGTGTTGGCTTTTTATGCCATAAATAACTTGATTGACTTGTTTAGATTTTTTTGATGATATAAACTTAAATTTTAAAAATGTATACTATAAAAAATTTTAAAAAATTACAGTGTCAAACTTAAGTAATCTTTTTCTTGTTCTCTGACTTTCCATTATAGAAATTATCTTATTGGGGGAAATTTGCTCATATATCATTTGCTAATAACTAAATAATAATAGATTGGAAATATTTAAGGTGGAATTCTTTCTACATTCATGACTGGTTGATTAAGATTCAAAGTGTACTACTCTATCTTGGGTGGTAGGGGAAGGGGGCATTGTATTTTATGTAACCGATAGGCTAAATATAGTTGAAATTGTTTCCAGTAGTTGAAATCATTTCTATGGCATTTTTTTTTCTATGGCATTTTTTGGCTTAATGTAACATTTTATGAAGTGTCCAGCAGTCTGTGTGTACTATAGAAGAGAATAATAGTGGGTTCAGGTTTTCAGTGGCCTAATTATAAGGAAAGGACTAATAAAATTGTTCTGTTGGATTAGACGTATATAACTTGACAATATATAATTATAAATATATATTAAACATGGTGACTTTGAGATATTGATAACATTTTGCAAGATAAATATTTGTTTGACCAAAAACTAGAGTCCTAAAACCATTGATTGATTTGTTATATGTAAGAATTGTCAGAAGGCTAAATAGTATAATGTTGGTATTATGAAGAGTTTATGAAAATCTTTATTTTTCATTAGCAGATTCTTTTAGTCCAAAGGTCAGCAAACAGTAACCTGTGGGCCAAATCCAGTCACTGGCTGTTTTTAGAAATAAAGTTTTTTTGGAATGCAACCATGCCCATTTTTTACGTATTGTCTATGGCTGCTCTTGTGCTTCAGCAGAATGCAGTCTTGTGACAGAGATTTTTTGGTCTACAGAACTTAAAATATTTATTATTTGGTTCTTTTTTTTTTTTTGGCCGCACAGCGCGGCATGCGGATCTTCCCTGGCATGTAGGATCTTCTCCGACCAGGGATCGAACCCTCACCCCCTGCGGTGGAAGCACGGAGTCTTAACCAGTGGACTTCCAGGAAAGTCTTATTATTTGGTTCTTTACAGAAGTTTGCTGACCCTTGTTCCAGTCACATCTCTGTGACTCACTTCTGGGTTTTTGCTAATTTTTTTTTTTTTTAGTGCAAGCTTTAGTCTGTTTATAGCCTACAAGCATTAGTAAGTCATTTGATTTACTAGTGGATTATTTTCCCACTGGTCTTAATTTGAAGATTTCTGCAAGTTGGAACGTTATATTTCTTTTCCTCCCTAACAGTTATGGCTGACTGTCCTCATACAATTGGTGTTGAATTTGGTACAAGAATAATTGAAGTTAGTGGCCAAAAAATCAAACTGCAGATTTGGGATACAGCAGGACAGGAGAGGTTTAGGGCTGTCACACGAAGCTACTACAGAGGAGCTGCGGGAGCACTTATGGTGTATGATATCACTAGGTAAGCGATTAATAATTTTCAACCTTCATCCTTGAAAAAAGAAATCTATTTTAGGAGTGTGGTTTCTTTTTTTATTGATTTAGGCATTCTATAGTTTGTAATTGCGTGTCTGTAAATGAGCTTATTTGGGTTTTATGGATTTTTCTCTAAATTGCTGTGTGTAATACTTGATATAACATGTTGATTTCCCTTTCTGAAAGTGAGTATGACTGAAGGAAAACTTCAGGAGATGCCGGTGGAGCGAGTGAAAGGATACTGTTCTGAAAAGCAGTATCAGTTGAATTATTTGAGGTGAAATAATATTTTACACCACATATTTTCACTTCAGTAGAAAGCAAGCAGATCTTGAGGAGTTCCTCTGTTCAGCCTCTAGTTATTTATTTTTGGCTGCATTGGGTCTTTGTTGCTGCACACGGGCTTTCTCTAGTTGCGGCGAGCAGGGGCTACTCTTCGTTGCATTGCGCGGGCTTCTCATTGCAGAGGCTTATCTTCTTGTGGAGCATGGGCTCTAGGCGTGCGGGCTTCAGTAGTTGTGGCTTGCAGGCTCTAGAGTGCAGGCTCAGTAGTTGTGGCGCACGGGCTTAGTTGCTCTGCGGCATGTGGGTCTTCCCGGACCAGGGATCGAATCCATGTCCCCTGCATTGGCAGGCGGATTCTTAACCACTGTACCACCAGGGAAGTCCCCACACCTTTTCAAAATAAGGTCAAGCAAGGAATTAAGTAGTTTTGCTAACCCACCATGGTAGATTATAAAAAGTTCTCATACTTGCATCTGAAGTATTTTATTGTTTATTTACTTAAATTCTTTTTTGTCCTAAAATGGATTGAAGTAGCTCATGATACTTCATGTAGCAAGATTAAATTTATTTCAACTGTTTCTGGAAACTCAAAGCAATTGATAGAAACTAACGAAACTGGATCCTAAATGTTTGACTTTGGAATACTGTGCCACTTCATTAAACTCTGTACTGTTTATCTACTACTGTAAGCTAGAAAATGAACTGGATCACCTTTCATGTTAATGCAAAGCGCCAGTCTAAATCAGTGTGACTCTTGTCTCACTTTTTGAGGGGGTAGGAATTGGTGAGTGGGACCAAGTGATAGACTTTCAACCTTATTTCCTTTTGGGAAATGATTTATACTGTTTCCTCTTGAAGAGTCACATTAGCATATTATAGGACCTTGAGAAGTTCTGTAGTAAAGGAACTCTTTAAGTTTGTTTAATTTGGTGTTTTCTAAGGTTATTTTATTGAGGAACACCCTTTGGAAAATGCTGCCTTAGAATAAAAATAGTGGATGATTATAATTATAGTGCTTGAAGTCTTACTAAATTCTAGAATTTGGTGGTGTCGGGGCAAAACAGAGTGAAACAGCCTTAATGCTCTTCACTAGAGCCAGACAGTTGGTAAATAGTTTTGTGAGAAGACTGTTAAAGAACCTGGCCATCTGTACAGACATCCTTTTATGAGGGATGCATTCCTGAAGACTTCGCATAATTGAAAGCTGCATTCATTATTATAATTTTTTAAAATTTATTTATTTATTTATTTTTGGCTGCGTTGGGTCTTCGTTGCTGCACGTGGACTTTCTCTAGTTGGGGCGAGCAGGGGCTACTCTTCATTGCGGTGTGCAGGCTTCTGTTCGTGGTGGCTTCTCTTTTTGCAGAGCATGGGCTCTAGGCGCATGGGCTTCAGTAATTGTGGTGCACGGGGGATCTTCCTGGACCAGGGCTCTAACCTGTGTCCCCTGTGTTGGCAGGAGGATTCTTAACCACTGTGCCACCAGGGAAGCCCTGCGTTCATTATTAATAAAATTTAAATATGGTGATGTGTGCTTAAGTGTATCTATCTATAGTGTTGTAGTTTGTTTTGCTTTCTCTATGTGCTCTTTTTTTAATTCCAGCCTATTGAGATACAGTCAACGTAGAGGATTGTATAAGTTTAAGATTATTTGATACGTGTATATATTTTGCTTTTAAACATAACTTTTAAGCATAGTAACTACTTTTGAGAAAATTTGTGTCTATTCAAGTCATTAAAAGTACTTTGCTGGAAACAGCCCAAATGCCCATCATCTGACAAATGGATAAACAAATGTGGTATATCCATATAGTGGAATATAATTCAACCATTAAAAGGAAGGAAACATTGATACATACTACAAAGTGGATGAACCTAGAAAACATTTTACTAAGTGAAAGCCAGACACATACAGTCACATGTTGTATGATTCCATTTATATGAAATACCTGGAATAGGCCATTTCATAAAGACAGAAAGTGGATTGCCAGGGGATGAGGAGTAAGTGCCAGTGGGTACAGAGTTTCTTTTTAGGAGTGATGAAATGTTATAGAATTAGAGTGATGATCATGCCACAAATTTGTGAATATATTAAAAACCACTACATTGTATACTTTAACAGGATGAGCTTTGTGATGTTTGTTATATCCCAATAAAACTGTTACTGAAAAAAAACAGTACTTCAGGTTTTAGATGGGTACTTTTTCTTGGTAAAGTGATACTTCATAGCAACATTGATGTGGCAGCTATGACACTGATTTTTTTCCCTTTTTTTTTCTATTATTAATCATTGACATTTTGCAAACTTAAAAGTCTCTGCTTTAGAGTAATACTTTTTATTCTTAGCATTAACACTTTTTAAAAAATTTATTTATTTATTTTTGGCTGCGTTGGGTGTTCGTTGCTGCACGGGGGCTTTCTCTAGTGGCGGCGAGCAGGGGCTACTCTTCGTAGCAGTGCACGGGCGTCTCATTGTGGTGGCTTCTCGTTGTAGAGCACGGGTTCTAGGCGCGTGGGTTTCAGTAGTTGCAGCACATGGGCTCAGTAGTTGTGGCTCACGGGCTCTAGAGCACAGGCCCAGAAGTTGTGGCGCACGGGCTTAGTTGCTCCGCGGCTTGTGGGATCTTCCCAGACCAGGGCTCGAACCCATGTCCCCTGCATTGGCAGTCACATTCTTAACCACTGCACCACCAGGCAAGTCCACTAGCATTAACTCTTTTTTTTTTTTTGCGGTACGTGGGCCTCTCACTGTTGTGGCCTCTCCCGTTGCGGAGCACAGGCTCCGGACGCGCAGGCTCAGTGGCCATGGCTCACGGGCCTAGCTGCTCCGCGGCATGTGGGATCTTCCTGGACCGAGGCACGAACCCGTGTCCCCTGCATTGGCAGGCGGACTCTCAACCACTGCGCCACCAGGGAAGCCCAGCATTAACTCTTGATTGTCACAGGGTACTTGCCTAAATTGACATCATAGTTTATCATGGTAGTTTGTTTGATATATCACATCTAACATCACACCAAATTTAGGGATCTTTTAGCACCTTTTTGTTTTTTTTTTTTTTTTAGCAGTAGTAACACCAGTTAATGCATATTTGGGTCAATATATAGAGAGATATTATATCTATAGATTTGAAAGTATGTTGGTGAATTTTAAATTAGTAATGAGACAGTTACCAAAAGCATTAGCAGAAGTTATGTACATGTAAATAATTCAGTATACATGATCTTGATACTACTTACAAAGGATGTGTAGATTTTTCTGTTTACCAAAGTGTTGGCAGTTTGTAATTCACTCTTGCTGCCAGCTTTGACATTTTAAAGTTGATCTAAATCAGTATAAATATTTTTGGACTTGCGTTGTATAAGGTTTTGTGCACAAAGCAAGATAGCTGTGTTGGGTAAAAGCAAGGTATGCTAGTACTACAAGTATTAAAGAGTGATAAGGCTTGTGCTTTTTAAAAGAAAATTTATTTATTTATTTATTTTTGGCTGCGTTGGGTGTTCGTTGCTGCACACGGGCTTTCTCTAGTTGCAGCAAGCAGGGGCTACTCTTAGTTGCGGCACGCAGGATTCTCATTGAGGTGGCTTCTGTTGTTGTGGAGCACAGGCTCTAGGCACATGGGCTTCAATAGTTGTGGCATGTGGGCTCAGTAGTTGTGGCCCACGGGCTTAGTTGCTCTGCGGCATGTGGGATCTTCCCGGACCAGGGCTCGAACCCGTGTCCCCTGCATTGGCAGGCAGATTCTTAAAACCGCTGCACCACCAGGGAAGTCCCAAGCCTTGTGCTTTTTAAGAATTATATTTGACTATTGTTTGCTTAGAAAATTTTAAAGCATTGGGAAAAAAGTTTTTATGTGACTTTTTTTTGACATTTATGTGGTGATTTGTGTATAATGTAATATAGCACAGAAAAAAGAGAGTCTGAGTAAGAAATTCTTTTCACTTCTCACTGGGAAAGGATTAAATGTTTGGAATATCACATTTTATATGAGCACTGGCAGCTGGAGATCATGCAGTATATTCACAAGGCTGAACTCGAAACACTTCAAGGACACAGTGTGTGTACAGGGTTCTACACCCGGCTCTGAAATCATTAAAATCTTTATGGGCTTCTGTTTCCTCACCTGATAAATGAGTAAGATAGATTAATGTTCTGTGAGTCTGTAGAAGTCAGAAATATTTTTAAGCTACAAAATTTTTTAAAATTTTGACCTTTTTGGTAAAGTCTAATTAATAGTAATAGTATATACTCTGTATATTATTGTAAATTATTTGGATTTGTTTGTTATCTTAGATCCTACTTGGCTAGTGCAAAGGAGCCTATGAGTTTTTAAACTCTTGGGTTAGAGAAAATGGAGAAATAAGGCAGTCTGTATCCCCAAATGAATTAGCTGCTGGTTAATAAGAGTACAGAGTTAGGATAAACTCACTGTCTGATATACCTGGGGATTTCAGTTTCCAGTCAAATGTATTAAATGTCTTTTTAAAGACAATTTTTAAAACTCTGAGTTTAGAATTGTTTTCCATCAGTTTTTTTAAGTTGTTCCTTGCTTGCTTATTGGTCTGTTTATGGATGTTCTTTTAAATGTAAAAAATTTACTCCTGACGTGTAAGTAATTAGCAAAGTTGCTGGCTATTGAGTTATTTATTTAAAAATAATAGGTTTTCCTAGATTTTTGAAAAGTATATGTTTGCATTCCACAGTTGTACTTTAGTGTAACAATCTAGTCAAATCAAAAATACTTCTTTAGGATCTGTTGATTAAAGTGTATATTTAAAATATTTGTTGAAGTTTCTTTTTTTCTGTTGAAATGGCATCTGTGGCAGTCACAAATGTAAACTTTAATTTTTGCAGAAGAAGTACATATAATCACTTAAGCAGCTGGTTGACAGATGCAAGGAATCTCACCAATCCAAATACTGTAAGTTAAATGACATCTATTATACAGAAAACTTAAGATCTAAGTTGACTCAGAAAGGAAAGCCATTTGCTAAGTGGGCTTTTTTTGTATTTGGGTACTAAGAATGAGAGAATCTTTATTCTGAAATTAATTGAAGAAAAAACGTTCTTTTCAAATATGGATTATGCCAGGTTTTGCGTCTTATACTTGGGTTTTGTTCATGTTAGTGGTTAAAAAAAAAAGTTATGAGTGGGGTAGTCTCATGTCAAGTGGAGACTCTGAAATCTGAAACTATCACTTTAATCTGCATTAGTTTCATAAAATGTTACCATTAGAGGAAGCTAGGCAAAATGTACTAGGGAATCTCTGTATTTCTTAAAACTGCATGTAAGTCTCAATAAAATTTCAATTAAAAATAAAAAGAGTTCTGCATGCGTTAAAAAATTAGCCAGTCTGAGAAGATATTTATTTATGGAGATTTTCATAGCCACCATGCTAGACTCTGCAATATACAAAAATGAATGTGGGTCCTTAGCCCATAAAAGGTTATAGTCTAGCAGGGAGATTACCTGTGGGTATACAGATAGCTATACTGAAAAGCAGAGTGGAATATGGGTTAGAAATAGAGTTACTGGTGTAGTGCTTGGTGGTGGTGGTGAGGACCCAGTATGAGCAGTGCCATCTGGAGAAACCAGCTTTATAGAGGAGGTGTTGTTTGAGCTGGGACTTGAAGGGTAAAAAGGTTTCAGTAGATTCTGTTGAGGGTATTCCAGGAACAAGTGAGGAAAAGCACAGATCTGTGACAGACTCTGAGCTTTTTGAGAGTAAGGCCTGTGTCTCACTTAGCTTTGTACCCCAGCACCTGGCAGTGGCCTGGTTTAGTAAATATGTAATCAGTGGTAAGATTGGCTTTCATCAGGGAACAGCAATTTAATTATATTGATAGTCAGTTAACATGGTTTGCCTGTTATGCCAGGGACTGTGTCTGGAACTTTCCATTATCACATTAAACCCTCTGTAGGTATACATACAAATCTATAGATGAATGTTCATCAGCAGCTTTATTTGCAATAACCAAAACTGGAAAACAACCTAGATGGCCATCAGCATGTAAATGGTGAAACAATCTGGTACGTCCATACTATGGAATACTCCCCAGCCATACAAAGGAATGAACTGTAGATAAATGCAACACATTAGATAGATCTCGGGCATTGTGCTGAATGAAAAAAAGTCAGTCTCAAAAGATGACATACTGTATGATTCCATTTATATAAAACATTCTCAAAAAGACAAAATTATTGAGATGGAGAACAGATTTGTGGTTGTCAGGGGTTAGCGATGGGGGTGAAAGGTGTTAGTGTGAGTTGACTATAAAGAGGGCAGCACAAAGCAGTTTCTTTGAAGTGATGGAACAGTTCTGTATCCTGATGGTGATGACACAAATCTATACCTGCAATAAAATTGCATAGAACTATACACACTCCAGAACCTGTAAAACTGGTGAAATCTGAATAAGGACTCTAGATTATACCAATGTCAGTTTTCCTCGTTTTGAGAGTGTACAGTAAGTATGTAAGATGCTACTATTGGGGAAGCTTGGTGAAGGGTATATAGGACCCCTCTACTCTTGTGTAAGCTTTTGTGGTTCTATAGTTACGTTCAGGTATTGGTAAAATATTAAAAACAGCAAGGAAACAACTTATTGTACAGGGTCCTTAGAGGAGTGTAATAAAAAAATTAGCCGTGTCCTTCCTGCCTCATTTATGCCTCTTAAAATCTTTAGAAAAAAGAAAATCTCTTTAAGGTCCAGTGCAAATGTTACATTTTCTGTAACGCTGCCTTTGATTTCTGTGTGGAAGTTAAATACTTCCTCATTTTGTTGGTGGTATATTTTGTACCTCTGTCTTGTTAGCATGCCACTTTATGCCTCCCCTTTCATGATGATGAGAAGCATTTTGGAAATTCTTAAGGAATGGAGAGCAGGCAGTGTTTCCATTAAGCACACATTTCTTGCTCTGAGCACCTGTGCTGTAACGGCCCTGTACTACTAAGCCATCGTGACTTGACCAACTTTGATATTTTTTGAAAAATTGATTTCCTTTAAGTGTTATTGCCTTATTCTTTAGAAGACTAGTGGACTATATATGAAAACTTCTTTCTCTCCTCAGTGGACGCTTGTCCACACTGACTGAAGAATGCTCACTTGCTGAAGGTTTACATTCGGGTCAAAATGGCTATACTTCATGGACAGCATTTTTTGAAAGTAGGACAGCCAGGGCCTGAAATTTCAAGTGAAAAAAAGTTAATGGTGGAAATCCCTTTTAGTTGAAACCGTCCATTTCTGAAGTATCTGTATCTGGATTACCACATCTGTTCTGAAGGGGAAAAGCGAGGATGGGGGGAGTTGCCAGTTGGTGTCAAAAAATACATTGGTAGAGACAGTTTATCCCCCAGCTCATTCCAGTAAAGGCTGAAGCCCTGTTTCCCAAAGCTGCACAGGTTTTTCTTAGAGCTTTTCAGAGCAGCCTTTAACTTCAGCCTAACTTCACTGGTATAAATGACTCCAGAGTGGGTATAGATGTATATAATATTTTGCCTTGAATTTGAACCCACTGCATATACGTCCTCCCACCCCCAATGTCCTCTATCATGGATACACAGTCATTTGTTATCAGTTGCTACAAACTTAGTCCAGCCTAGGGATAGTGTAGGGGAGGACAGTATTTGATGGTCACAGTTTGGGTTTTTCTACCTGACTTCTAATGTCCGCCTACCACTGACTGAGTGACCTTTGACAAGTCCTTATTTGAGTATTAATTTCCTTACTTGTAGCCTGAGAAGTTGAACTGGTAGTTGTAAAGTTTTTTGAGGGTCCCAGGAACTTTTGAAAATCTGATGAAAGCCACAAACCACCTCTTCCAGGGAATGTCCTTGTTTACAGCATTTTGTGCTTAATTTCAGTATATTCACAGATACCCTGGCGCTTGTCCATGGACCCTTAGTAGTCTTACTCAAATAAATCATAATCTTTGGCCTAGACCAGATGTGTTTCAGGCACACAAAAACAAAACAGGACTGTTTTGTTTTTAAATGGCTTGAGAGCTGAGACTGGTTTTTACGTGTTCATAGGGTTGTTTTTAAAAAAGTCAAGAAAGAAGTATATGCAAAGCGACCACAAACCTGAAATATATACTTTTTGCCCTTCACAGAAAGTTTGTCAATCCCTGGCCTAGGTAATTGCTGACATCCCTCTTCATACTAATACCTTCATGATTCTGTAGTTCTGTCTGATGGATAATTGCTAGTATTTCGTTTCCTTTTTAGACCCACTTGTTTTTTCTTCAAGATTTTTAGATTTCAGAATTTTCATGTTTGATTTAAATGGTTTCTTTTGTTTTAAGATGTTTTTCTTTTGGTCACAAACTAGGTAATAATTCTCATAGGAAATAAAGCAGATTTGGAGGCACAGAGAGATGTTACATATGAAGAAGCCAAACAGTTTGCTGAAGAAAATGGTGGGTTTCTTTTAAGACTTTCAATGGCTTTTTTGGGTCACACATGGGAGAATTTCTAGGGATAGGTGGGATTTTGACAATGCAGATTATTTGACAGTTTTTTAAAAATGCAAACTGCTCAAATCTAAGAATGAGGAAATAACAAAATGTGTTTCTATTTGAGGGCAGTAGAGTTATTTAATGACAAATGTAAAGATTCCCTCCATCTCAAACTCATATAGTCTTTCATAAAATACTATAGAAGGAGTACTGAAAGCTGTTGGGAAACTTTTATTCAGATGTTACTGAAGAGAGTGTCCTTGTGAAAGTTAATTCGAAATATCCTTCATAGTCTGAATTTTATTTTTAGGCTTATTGTTCCTTGAAGCAAGTGCAAAAACGTAAGTATGGCTAAAGTTAGTAGATCATTTTTAATTACATTCAAATTTCTCAAAGTAGAACCATATATTTAAAAATGTATAATGTATATACATGTAATGTATAATATATAAATGTGTAATGCTTATGGCAGGGAAAACAGTCAGCAAACATCCCTTTGCTTCCTGTTTCACTTTTCAAAATAATGTTTTTTGTTACTTTCCCTAACATATTATACCTTGCTTATACCCGTTGGTAAGCCAGGTTAATAAATGAAATTGTGTTAACATTTCAGAAGTGTTTGACTTTTACAACCAAGGTTGAATTTGGCATCTTGGACTCAAGGTTGGTCAACCTGTTGATTTAATGCTGCTGCTTATAGTAAAAAGCATGACTTAAGGAAATATTCAATGTCTAAGAATAATTAGAAGCATAATTAACATTTTCTAATTGTTATTCCATGTTCATTATTGAACCCCAGGACTGCTGTCATAGTTCTTCATTTATTAAGCCAAAAATTCCTTGCAGTGGTGAGAAGCTAGCTCCTTTTTGTTTAGCCTCATCTGTACTGTTAGTCCTAAGGGAGATGAACTCAAGTGTGAACATGGCTAAGCATGATAAGAACAGTACAGTTCATGCTTGGCTAATCAGACCATACAAATCCTGGAATACTGTTCTGCATGTGTTTGGAGATGACTTCATTTCTATTTGAAATACCCACTGTAATGGCCTGTCTTAATTATTGTTATATATTAATATACAGCATTTTAATGATTAGAGCACATAGTTTCAAATAGGGTTTGTAGAAAGAGCTGTTAGTATTGTTTATATGCTTTCCACAGAAAATATCTTCCCATGTTGTTCTCTTAGCTCAGTCTTCTGGTAGTCCCTTATTAGATGATACTGGCTGAGTTGAAGACATCATGCCAGTTGACTAAAGGTTAGCAAAAGGTCAGTGTATAATGTCCTGTCTGTCGTAGAAAGCTGTGGTTCGCCAATAAAGTTGTCGATTGCCTCTTAGGGGAGAGAACGTAGAAGATGCTTTCCTTGAGGCTGCCAAGAAAATCTATCAGAACATTCAGGATGGAAGCTTGGATCTGAATGCTGCCGAGTCTGGTGTACAACACAAACCTTCAGCCCCACAGGGAGGCCGGCTAACCAGTGAACCCCAACCCCAGAGAGAAGGCTGTGGCTGCTAGTGACCTCTTTGCCGTGGCTCTCATTTGACCTTTCACCTCTGTCTGTTGGAAGCAGTACTTTTTACTTGCTGCCTCATTGTCTTCTGTACATCTTACTGGGTTTAATTAAAAAGAAAAAACAACTCTGTTGTAAAAACAGTTTAACACAATACTAAACTGCTAAACAACTAGATGTAATCAGGTTATCAAAGGCAAGTAGAGTAATAAATCTCTTCTGCATGGTAAATCTAGACTTTTTTCCCCCCTTGATTGTCCTCGTGATAGGTATGTCACCAATACATGATTTAAACTGAGCACTGATGCTGGACTTGAGTTTTACCCCTCCCTCTTTTTGGCAAGGCTTTGTCTCATTGTACGGTTTAATTTCATGATATCTTAAGCCTTTCTTCCCATTTTTAACTGTTCAGGTATGTCTGTTATAACCCATAAGTTTATTGCTGTGAAATGACTTCTGATGATAGAGAAGGGGTCCTTTAAAGCCTTTTGTTTTTGTTGGATAAATTCCCTGTTGTGTGGGTGGCATTTTTCTTGAGGCGGTTTGCTTCTGTCTTAGCCTTGCACAGGGAAAATATCCATTTATCTTTTCTCTTGTGCTTAATTAATAGCTTTATCCTTTTTTTTTTTACACCATTTTATCTTTTTCTCTTTAGCAGAAAGTAAATATGTATAAAATTTGAAGGAACCGAACTAACAATACATTCTGTGTATATTATTTTAATGAAGAAAATAAATTGATTACTGGCATTGGAACAGTATAAAATACCAGTTTGTACAGTATGACCTATATGTGACTATGTTACTCCCTTCCATTTCACATAAGGAAATAGACACAACTGCAGTTCACAGGATGTACTGGCTCCACCCTTTGGTGCTGGCAGTGTTTGGGGACATTATGCTGGAAGGAGCTCCTGGCGTGAGAGGATTAACACTAGTAGATTCTGTTCCATCTTTGCACTGTGGCTTACCTGCTGATTTTCTTAACTGTTCTTGTGCAATCAATAATGTGCTAACCTGCTTTTCTCTTTTTGTAACGTTTTGCATTACAGGCTGCATTTCTTGCCTTACTATATAGAAAAAGAAAAAAGGCTGGGTTTATTATTGCACATTTTAAGCTTTTATACCTGTATCTTCTTGGAATGGTGAGATTCTAAACGAGACAGCCAGAACTGCAGGTCTGCTGTTAAGGGATTTTAAATTGTGCATTTTTAACACTACAGTGAAATAATCTAAGATATCCCATGTTCTTAGTATGAGGGGCTATTTTATGTCATGTTGGCATAAATTGTTTTGTAAAGGGGAAAGTGTTTCTAACGGTGTTCCAATATTTGTGCTGATACAAAGTAAGTTATTGCTTTGCACTAGGTGGTTTGGCCACTGACAGAATACTGTATTGCAAGGGAAATAATCTTTTATTTCTTTAGAAAGCAAACTTACATTTTACCAAGTTCTTTACTTCTGTTGATTGATTTCTAATTGAGTTTATGGTTCAGGCTGGGAACTGAGAAGTTATTTGAAGTAGGATAGGCAAACCTCAGTATATTATATACAACGCACTCTCAGCTCAACTGTTGTGTTTAAAATACACATTTTAAATCCCTATTTACAGACACTAACGTAAAAAATACAGCTTTCTGGGTTGTAAACATGTGGTAGTACCAGAGTATTGTATAGTCAGTGTTAAATAAAAGCCAAAACTGGAATGTGCAGAAAATAGGATTTGGTTAATTTGTGGACTCACCTTTCTGTCTTTGTTTAACTTTTTAAAAAGATACCTGGAGTAGATCAGTGTATTCTGTTAAAGACTTAACAGTGATCCATTTTGCTTACACTGTTGCATCACAAGGGACTTGCCCAGGGACCATGACCTGCTGGTGTGTGTATATATTTACAAAAACAAAACAAACAAACCACCCATTGGGATATAAGGTAGCAATCACAAATGAAAGACTGCGGCTTGTTTAGGTGCAGTACCCTGATTTCCCAAAGTTAGTTACAGTGGGTCTTAATTGTTTTTGTGACAGGAGTTATTCAGACTGCTGTACTCTTCATTTGATGTAACAAAATGCTATTAATCTAAATATTTGTAAATAAAGTACCTGTATCTAGATTAAATTAAAATTGTTTGCATTATTTTCTGAATTATAACAGGATTTCATATTTTCTTCAGGCAGTTATTTGGCATAAGTCGCCAGTGTTTATTTCAGAATTGTCCTTTTTGTTTAAAAAGAAAAGTCTACATAAGTAGCGTATAAATCCACATCACCCAGTAATTGAGCTAGTCTTATCCTTGTGTTCAGATCACACTTGCAGTGTTTTTCAACCTTTTTCAGTGTGAGATCAGCACATTTGGTGGCTGATAGTGTTCTCCCTTGACTGTACTTGGGGCCAAATTCTGTTATTTGCATGTGTAATCCCCTATAATAAACTTGGGTGCTCAAAAATAGAGAAGCAAATTGTCATATTGTAATATCTGTGTGCCAGACACTGGGCAAGTACACTTTGGAGAGAATGTGAAATTCTTTTAATTTTTAATCCATGGAGAGCTTACTACGTGTGTGGTCACCTGCTTTTCTGGGTTACTCGTTGCCCTTTTGCACCTACGAGGCCCTCCTGATTAGTAATTGGTGCTCAGTACTCTACGCGTTAGACATTCCAGTATGATGTTCAAGTATTTTTCATGGACAAAGTGTTTGATGCGGTAACTTTGATTTTTTTTTTTTTTTTTTTTTTGGTGGGGGTGGGGGTTGGTGGTGTTTTCATAATACTAGTTAGAGGTAGCAAAGTTTCTTTGGCAAGATGTCTTTTGGAACCGGGTGTTTGTTTGGCGTTACACGTTAATTACCTCACCTCTAATTCCAGAAGACTATAGTTTTGGGAACTTTTTTGCCCACTTTTTTTTTTTTGTGGTATGCAGGCCTCTCACTATTGTGGCCTCTCCCATTGCGGAGCACAGGCTCCGGACGCGCAGGCTCAGCGGCCATGGCTCACGGGCCCAGCCGCTCCACGGCACGTGGGATCCTCCCAGACCGGGGCACGAACCTGTGTCCCCTGCATCGGCAGGCGGACTCTCAACCACTGTGCCACCAGGGAAGCCCCGCCTACACATGTTTTAAGTGTTCTCTTTTCTTATAAATGTGTGGCTCAATTCACTCCCCTTAACAGAAGACCAAATGATTCCTGTTCATGTGGGAATATAGAGAGGGTTCATGTGGCAGTTTAGAAAGAAAATATTTTACCCTCATTCAGCACATGGACAGACCAGGAAACTGCGTCCTTGAAGGATTTCAGTAATTGTGGATAGGCCAGGATTTTAAGCATTTTGCTAAGACTTGTGGAAATGAAACAAAGAATATAACTACCAAATCAGTTTTATTTTGGAAGTAGATGTTTTCTGGAACTTAATGTGTTAATAAATTTTATGCCATTTTCATTGTCTTTAATCGTATTTATCCCGTATCTGTTTTTTTTTCTTTTGGCTGTGCCACGTGGCATGAGGGATCTTAGTTCCCCCACCAGTGATCGAACCTGTGCGACCCCTAACCACTGGACCACCAGGGAAGTCCCTATCCCATATCTCCATGTCTTAATGGTCCAGCTCTAGCCAAACAACTTATTAGGAATATAAACCTCAGTAGGTGGTGAGAGATTACTCACTGTGCTATACTGTGTATAGTAACATGGTATATAATACCTGTTATGGTTCAAAAGCTGTATAGGGGCCTAGAAGAGTCCTTGGGGATATTTTAAAACAAGTCTGACTGAACACAATTTGAATTTACCACTGGGTCAGATTCTCCAAAGTCCAAAGTTCTAATTTTCTACCACAGAATATTTTTGGTTAAGGAAAAGCACCTGAAGTATATATATAATAGTTTTATAACAGATATTTTCAAGTGATAAAATATATTCATTGATAGGTACAACATATTTCAACCTGCAGGCAGAGATGGAAAATCACTTGAAAGACTGAAATTTAGGTAAAAATTTTATGGTTTAACTGTAGATATGTGAAGTGTAAAGTCAGAATCTGTCAGACCCAAATTTACTTTATCTTTTATTTTTATATGAATACAGATTTTAAACAAAATCCAAAAATAACTTGGCACTGTTAATGAAGAGGGGCTTAAGTACATTTTTTTTAACCTTCCTAACTATGGATTTTACCAGTTTATAGATTCAAATCAGTATTGGTTTTATAATAATGCATTTCAAAGTGAAAAAACCCTTAGCCATCTAGGACCCTGGTTTAAATTGTATACAGTTGTTCCCATATGTACAGGTGACTTACAAAAACCCTGACGGTAATTGTCCAAGTGGAGTTTCAGCATTTGAATTCACTGGTTCATGGTAAAAAGCAAGTGGCATTCTAATTATGAAGTTGGTGAGGTAGTGGAAAAGGTATTTCCTCATATTTCTGCAAGACAGTTTTCCTCCATCTGGCTGAGCCACTCTTTTCCTACAAGATGAGAAAGTCAGGATGAACTCTTGCAACAGTAAAAACAGGTTTTAACTAGGTTAACAATTAAATGATAGCATCATGGCTAACAGGTAAAATATATACTGAGTACCTCTTCGGAAAAATGTTTTAAGATGAACCACCATACGATATTATCCAAGAGAAAAGTCAGAAAGTTACTTTTCTTAAGACTGTATGATAAACTAGAATTCAAGATCTTGCAATTGAAAGTGCAGGTTAAAAGAACTCTTTGTAACATGTACCCTGTGAGCAGGAGGCTGGGAATGGCATCAGTGTCGGTAACCGTCTAGTGATTGTGACGGACCTTGTAGAACTTGGAAGGAGCTCTGAAATGAAGGAAGAGAAAACATTAGGCTCAGAAGCCAGTCTCTTAATTCCAACCTAGTTCAGACTTTTATCCCACGTAGACCTAGATTATGACTCCAGAGTCCAAAATAATTCTAACAAACTCACCTCTACTCCTTGTGCCTCAAACATTCCTCTGTTACTCCTGGATTTAGAGCACCTGAACTCTTCTGGCTGCCACCATGAGCTAAGAGTTTAACCTGGCCCTCAAACCCCTGTCTACTCATCTCCCACTATTCTGGGCTCTCTTACCTCCAGAGTCATCTACTCTTCAATGCTCTGTGCCTCTGACACACTGTTCCTCAAGGCCTGCCCTGAGGCCCATGATGGTTTTGGCCTGTATCTGACTTGGATCCTACCATGGAAGGTTTTAAGGTAATCATTCAAATCTTGGCGCTGCTGCTAATGAGCGAGCTGTGTGTCTATTAAAGATGCAACTGGCCTTGAATGTTCTCATGGCTCAACCATACAATATACCACTCTGGTAAAGAAAGATTAGCCTCTAAGTCCTGGTTTTGTCTTTTGCTGTGACCTTGACATTTTTCATTTTATACAATTTCCTTATCTATGTAGAGGGATAAATCCTATTTCCCAGGATGTAAATGAGATAATATATGTAAAGTGTTTAGTACACACACACAGTAGGCACACAAGATGGTAGCTATTATCCATCTCTGACAGTAATACTGTGTTACTTACTGATTCCATGAGTATATTTTATGTTCCTCTAAATAATTATTAACCTTATGTAAGTCATAGAAAACTTGTGAAATCCAGGGTTTTTTTTCTAATAGACTCTCAGTTAAGAGTTCAAACTCTGTTCAAACTTTGCTGAGGATTAATAGTTGGCACAGTCATCTTCCCAAATGGACAGACTAAACTGGGACTCAGGTTGGTTTCAGAGGTCTAAACTTTTTTTTTGGCTATGCCGCACAGCTTATGGGATTTTATAACTTTGTTGTTGTTGTTGTTAATTTATTTTATTTTTGGCTGCGTTGGGTCTTTGTTGCGGTATGTGGGCTTCTCTTGCTGTGGAGCACGGGCTCTAGGCGCGCAGGCTTCAGTAGTTGTGGCACGTGGGCTCAGTAGTTGTGGTGCACGGGCTTAGTTGCTTCGCGGCATGTGGGGTCTTCCCAGACCAGGGCTCGAACCCGTGTCCCCTGCAGGCGGATTCTTAACCACTGCACCACCAGGGAAGTCCCAGCTTATGGGATTTTAGTTCCCCAACCAGGGATCGAACCGGGCCCGCAGCACTGAGAGTACAGAGTCCTCACCACTGGACCTCCAGGGAATTCCCTAAACTCTTTATATTGACCAAGTAGACGATAAGGACATCCAGAAATGGAAGGCATTTATAGAAGAATTAACTATATCCCTGACAGGTCACCCAGTTTCCTAGGCTATTTCCTAAATCATCAGCTTATCCTCTTTATTCATCTACCAACCAATTGATTCCAGTCTCCCCAGGGACCATGAAAAAGCAAGTCTTTCCTAAGACAAGTTTTTCAGAGATTTGAAGGTGGCATTCATATCCTTCTGAGTCTCCTCAAGATTATGGACCCCAAAGCTTTCAGGTACTTTCCATGTATAAGTCAGACCCCTTGTGAAGAGCTTCCTCCTACCTGGCTTGGTCCAAGATGGGAGTCCTCTGCAAGGGAAGACTCCAGCTGAGACACACTGGGTGATGACGTGGAATCTACAGATGTGCTGGTGACCAATTCCCCTAAGGCATCCACTTGTCTCCTCAAGCTGTGTAAAGTGCCCTCTGTCTGCCGCTTCCCTTTGCTTAACACTTCTGCCTGCTTGGACATACAGTGTCGAAGCTGGGCCTGAAAGTGTTATGGTAGAACATATTAGAACTAACACTGGGTACCTTCCTCATGTTTAACTTTTTTTTTTTTTTTGCGGTACGCGGGCCTCTCACTGTTGTGGCCTCTCCCGTTGCGGAGATGCGCAGGCTCAGCGGCCATGGCTCACGGGCCCAGCCGCTCCGCGGCATGTGGGATCTTCCCGGACCGGGGCACGAACCCGTGTCCCCTGCATTGGCAGGCGGACTCTCAACCACTGCGCCACCAGGAAAGCCCATGTTTAACATTTGATAGGCAAACCTGACTATAATAAAATAGGAATGGCTGCTGAAAATCCTCTTCTTGTCCTTTAAAAAAAAAAAAAAAGGAGGTGCCAGATGGCTACTCTCTGTGTTGTCATTAACTGGGCCTTCAACTCAGCCTGTTCTCTCTGCTGTCACAACACTTAGGATTTCAGCATCCCTGGCCTCCCCATTAAATGACTGCCTCATCTCTCTCTCCTTACTGCCCAGACTTAGAAGATTGGTTTATACCGGATATCTTCAGAGTCTCTCACAATGTATGTAATCCTCAACCCCATACTACGTTCTGGCTTCCCCACCGTACCTCTGAAATGATTCTCTTATTAAAGTCAACAGCAAGCGCTGTCCCATAGAACTTTCTGTGATGACGGGAATGTTCTATATCTGTGCTGCCCACTGTAGTAGCCACTGGTCATGTGTGGCCTTTGAGCACGTGAAATGTGGTAACTGAAGAACTGAATTTTTAACCTGATTTAATTAAAGTGAATTTACATTTAAACAGTCACATG